AGGCAGACTTCACAAAGATATTCAGGGAAATCTAAATTCACTGGATTACAGAGAGCACGGGATAGGAAGATGGCCAGCTCCAGGGGAAAGATTCTTTTAAATTAAGCCCATATGGCAACTACAGAGGAGGATCAGGAAGAGGCAGGGCACCCAGAGGTTCCCGCAACTATAAACGTTGAAAGACAGGTTCGGAACGACTGGAGTCTTCCACCCCCAGCCGTTCCAGTACAACCGTCACAAGTGGGTGGACGCCTTCAACTACACTGGGAGAACTGGGGAATGTTGCAAGACCCTTATGTCTCCAACATTCCTCAACACGGATATCGTATCCAACTACAGGCCACGCCTCCGCTGACAGTCAACCCTCACAAGTTCGACTTCCAGGCACAACAACTACCAAAGTTAAGAGAGGCTGTTACATCGCTCTTAACCAAGCAGGCCATAGAAGTACTAGATCAAGTAAACGTCGAACCAGGCTTCTACTCCCCAGTTTTCCTAGTACCCAAGAAAAACTCCAAGGAGAAATACAGACTCATTTACAACATGAGCATATTCAACAGAGATTATCTACGCAAACCGCCAACGTTTCGCATGATACATCTACCTCAGTTACGGCAGTTGATTCGTCCCATGGATTACATGGCCAGTATAGATCTGCAAGACGCATATCTACACATCCCGATACATCCCGAATCCAGGAAATACCTACGATTTACACTAGACGGGCTGCATTACCAATGGAAAGTACTCCCATTCGGAATATCATCAGCCCCCTGGCTATTCACGAGGATAACGAAACCTATCGTCACCTATCTACATCGTCTAGGGCTACGCAGTGCGTTCTACCTCGACGACGGGATACAAGTAGATCAAGATCCACAGCGTCTCAAACTACAGTTAAACTACATCATAAAGCTACTAACACAGCTAGGATCGTAAGTAAACTTACTCAAGTCGGACCTAGTACCATCGCAAGATCTGCAATTTCTAGGCATTCGATTTATCACGACTCTCAACCGTATTGTCGTACCAGAAGACCGATGGCTCAAGATCCAACAGACCATTCCTCTAGTCCTACTCTCTCCGTTACCACTACGACATTGGCAGAGCCTGTTGGGTCTCCTCACGTCAGCCCAAGACATGACAGTCAGAGGCAGAATACAGTTACGTCTGTTACAGGTCTTCATCAATGCACATCTCAACAACCTACAACCATTCAGTCTACCGAAACACCTCAGACCTCATCTACTATGGTGGACCAGGAGGTCGAATGTCTGTGAAGGTATTTGTTTAACAGAGCCGGAATTCAAAACCCATCTATATGTAGACGCGTCGCTCCAGGGTTGGGGAGCTCATCTCGCCAACCGGACGGCTTCAGGGTTATGGAATCAGCAAGAAAGCAAGCTCCATATAAACATGTTAGAGATGAAAGCGGTAATCAACGCCATACTTCATTGGAGCACCATTCTACAAAATGCGCATCTGATGATTCATACCGACAACTCGACAGTGGCGTTTTATGTGAACAAACAAGGCTCAACGAGATCACTGAACCTATTGACTTTAAGCTTTCAACTGTTCGATCTAATCGACGATCTCAACTTACATGTCAGAGCATGTCACATTCCCGGAGCCAAGAATGTACTAGCAGACGCACTCTCTCGGCCACATCTACCGTCACCAACAGAATGGATGCTCCATACAGAAATTTTTGCACAGATTATCAAGCAAATAGGAGCTCCGCTAGTAGATCTATTCGCCACTCGCTTCAACAATCAGCTACCGACATTCGTATCACCAGTCCCGGACCCACAAGCATGGGCGGGCGGATCTAAGCATATCCTGGGAAGGCCTCAATGCGTACGCGTTTCCGCCGCCAGCGATAATCCCTCAAGTGTTACAGAAAATCAGACAAACACAGAGCCTCCAACCCACTTTGGTCGCGCCCTACTGGCCAGCCAGAACGTAGTTTCCCATTCTAATTCAAGAAATCGGACAACCAACACTAGAGCTACCAAAGCGCTCGAATCTATTAGTACATCCACACACCAAACAGGTGCACGGAAGCCCAGAAGTATTCCAACTTCACGTATGGACTGTATTAAAATGTGTTTAAACAAGAGAGGGTATTCAACCAGAGCGGCAAAAGCAGTCACGGTTGCCTTACGCTATTCTACACGTAACTTGTACGACGACAAGTGGCACAGTTTCGAAAATTACGCAGCAAATAAGGGATTTACAGTGAGAGATGCTACACATCCACAAGTGGCAGATTATTTGTGTTACCTACGCCAAAACAAACATTTAAAAGGCTCGACATTGTCAACATATCTTGCTGCGCTTAGTTCTGTGATAACTATGAGAACGGGTGTCAAGCTAACCAAGACGCCAGAGTTACTGGCCTTACTACGTGCTTTCCAATTGGAGGATCAGAAGCGGAAGTTCCACGCCCCAGCTTGGGATCTGAATATAGTGCTCCAACACCTCACAAGTGAGGCTTATGAACCGTTGGAATCGACAACCTTTGAATTTCTCTCACAGAAAACGCTTTTCCTGTTATCTCTAGCCACGGCAGCCAGGATGTCAGAAATTCACGCACTAGATTATGAGAGGATACAGTTTGATGACAATCAAAACACAGCGCACCTGGAATTAAGATGGGATTTCATCGCCAAAAATCAATTGCCAGGTCAACCAGACAGATTATTCCATATTCCTGCACTCTCCTCGATTCTCGGATCTCCAAGATACACTGGACTTATCTCTATGCCCAGTCAGAGCTCTCAAAATCTATTTACGACGCTCCAAAACAAGGCGATTTCTCAAACGATTATTCATCCCCTTATCGGCAACAACTCAGACAGAAGTCTCTCGTACCACCATATCTATATGGATAAGAACTGTCATACTTCGCGCCTACAAGGTAGCAGGACTCGACCCTCCAACAGCATCAAATCCCCATGAGATCAGGGCATTGGCTTCCACACTCGCTCTACACGGTAACTGTTCATTCAATACAATCATGGAAGGATGCTTTTGAAAATCTAACATGGTGTTTGCTAATCACTATCTGAGAGATATCACCACCGAGGACGTCTCAGGTATTCACCATTTCGGTCCCTTGGTCCTCGCACAGTCCCTCGTAGACGTTAACACATAGTCTTACGAGATTATTATGTATATTTCATACCAGTATTATCTAGCTTATAACTGTACGGAGTTTTAGGGCTATTTATATACTTAGCTTAAAGGTCACATGCAACCAAAAAATCAAACATAATTAAAACACCATTATCACTTATTCTTGACATATAATATACATTGCTGGTTACGAAAAAATATATTAACAAAATTATAAGCGTACAATCGCAAATCGAAAGTGCAATATTGTGTACTTCGGTTTACTTCCCAAGAAACAAAGCAGTCGGGATACCGAACCCAGTCAGAGCGGGTGGGTGTGCACTCAAGTGTAACGGCTGGTTCATTTGCAGATGCCTTCACGGGCTAATTGTGTGTATATATAGAGAGATGTTGGGTTTTGTAAATACATGCTCATTTTTTGTGTATAACATTTTGCAATCAACAGACATCATAACATGTCATGTGTTCAAGTATCACACCTGCCTGTCTGTGTAATTACATAATGTGACAGAGACCGAACTCGGGCAATAAATCAATGCATTTTGTTTATGGTGTATAGCCTGATTGGTGTTAAGTTCAAATTGCATGTGGTCAGTGATAGCAGCTGTGTATTGAATATTGTCATTAGCAGACAGGCAGGCAGACACACAGGTGTCAATAAAACAAGACATTGAGTTTTGTCTGTGACAGCGACATATCTATATCACAGTTAGAAATTCTGTCAACGCTAAATGACATTGCTTTTAAGTATCCAACTGAGAAAGTGTCTCGGTAAGAAGAACGTGTGGTGAAAGAGACAAATGAAATTATATAAATAGTTAATGTACTGTCATAACATATAAAACGCTCGCGCCTGTGAGATATCAACAAAACATTAGAAAAATAGCTCACACCAAAGCCTTCACCGAGTATTCACCCGACAACCCGCTTCCAAGCTGCGCGAACCTATTTACTTGCGCACGTGCTATGAGCGCAGCCCAGCTGTTGAAACCCGTTTCCCCAGAAAAGTCTGGGGAAAATTAGTGAAACGTTTGAACTCCGATTTCGCGCGTTTTTTTTCATCCGTCATTTTTCAATTTTATAAGTTGAATTTGCATTTTTGACGATTTGTTTCGGTATGTCCATACCGAAAGGTATCAGAATCTGCAAAGTTGTGTTTTACTTTGCATGTGACCTTTAAGTCTACTCAGCTTTAAGCTTATACTGATGATTATGTTCAGTTGTATAGCTTCTCCTTGTCGGAGTCGCTTTTATATCTTTATTGCTATTATCATAGTATATTATTATTGTAATACCCCATCTATGGCAGTGTATAAACTTATGGTTTATAGTAGAGGAATTATCCTAAGTCAGTGCCATTATGAAGTTCCCGTTAGGGGGTTATTACAGTTATATATATAAATCACTAATTAATTTTATAAATCCAAAGTATTCTGTTCTTTCCCACCTCCGTTTCCGTAGGATTCTACAAGCAAAAGAGCATGAGTCAGGATAAGGAAAAATATGTAATTTTTAGAGTAAAATTGATATTTTGATACTTATCCTGACTCATGAGGTAAGCCCTCCCATCCTCCCCACATAACACTTTGGATTTCCCTGTAAATTCAAGTGTTGGGCTCACTATATCAGGAGAGAGTGAAGCATGAGGCCAGAAGGTGGCGCCGCCTTTCCCGGGCAGGGGCAAAGGGAGGCAACTCTTGGTGAGTACTAATTAGTGATTTTACATTGAAGGGAGCTTCAATTAAGGAGATACAAGTGTTCCACTATGTTCGCAAGAAGAAGAAGACAAGCAAAAGAGCATGAGTCAGGATAAGTATAAAATATCAATTTTACTCTAAAAATTACATGTTTTGTTTTAGGTCACTTTGAAAGACCACCCTATAATGAATCTACAAAGAGATCCGTGTACCATGTTCGGAACCTTGAAGTGTTTCGATTTAAACAGGTGACCTATGTTTGAAATGCATTACAATCATCAGAGTGCAGATATACCACCTGCTGTTTCCAGGGGTGTTCAGATGATATAAACTTTTGACCTCTGCAACTTGTTGGAATAAATAGTATGGCATGGAAGTGTTTTATTTTCATAAGATAAGTTGTAGGCATGCAGTCAATCCAAACTTGTTTCAAAGTCATGTACATTTTGTACATTATCAGTGAAGTTCTCCAGTATTCCAACTGTCATCATTTAATAGGTAAATTGGAAAATAGGCACAGGTAGAATAACCCTGTAACCAATGAAATGAAGTGCTGAAATTTGTATCAGTTTATATCTCAAGCATGTTAGTTTAAAATTTAGTCAGGATTATCTGACACTGCAGGTTATGTGACTGTTGTACATTGGAGAAGAGATTGGATTTATTATTAAGTCAGCAACTGAACACAACATGTCTTCAATGGTATATTTCTCACAAACATTCAAACCTCACAGGTTAAGTGATGGCTTTTGATAAAAAAATTTTACTGTCATTCATATCCTTGCTGTGGATACAGGGGAGACTTGTGGCAAGTTACCACCAATGTGATGAATGGTTACAAATCTCTGCATGGTGTCCTGATGATGCATGTAATTGTGTTGATGAGACGAATACTAATTTCAAGGTTTCCCGACCTATTGACATATTCCTGTCACACGACTGGCCGAGGGGTGTGTACCACTTTGGGGATGTGAATGGTCTTGTGCGACAGAAGAGTTTCTTCAAGGAGGAAATTGAGACAAACACACTGGGCAGTCCCCCTGCAGAGGAGCTGCTCCACTTCCTACAGCCCAGCTACTGGTTCTCAGCTCATCTCCATGTCAAGTTTGCAGCACTTGTTCAACACAAGGTAGGCTGCTACAGTTCCATCTAGGGACAGTCATCTCACCATCACTTGTTCAACACAAGGTAGGCTGCTACAGTTCTATCTAGGGACAGTCATCTCACCATCACTTGTTCAACACAAGGTAGGCTGCTATAGTTCCATCTAGGGACAGTCATCTCACCATCACTTGTTCAACACAAGGTAGGCTGCTACAGTTCCATCTAGGGACAGTCATTTCACCATCACTTGTTCAACACAAGGTAGGCTGCTACAGTTCCATCTAGGGACAGTCATCTCACCATCACTTGTTCAACACAAGGTAGGCTGCTACAGCTCCATCTAGGGACAGTCATCTCACCATCACTTGTTCAAAACACCCAAAAGCTGACATCCAGATATCTACAGGACAGAAAGCTTCAGTCACATTTTAAAATATGTACTTGAAGTACCATTTCCATGCTGTCTGTATTTGGAAAAATGGCACAGAAATCGTTCATATCTGGATGTTGTTAAAGAGTTGGTACTTTTGTATGTTTCAGGCAGTGGATGGAGCAGAAAAGACAACCAAATTCCTCTCACTTGACAAGTGTCTTCCCAAGAGAAAGTTTCTTCAGGTTGTGTACCATTTGTTCCTTCTTTTCATGTTGAGTGTCTGTCAGTAACGGATATGTTGTTCTGTGTCTTGTACAACACATGTGTCAGGTGTCTGTCAGTAATGTGTCTGTTGTTAATCTTGTACAAAACATGACTCAGTGTCAGGTGTCTGTCAGTAATGTATCATTTGTTAATCTTGTACAACACATGACTCAGTGTCAGGTGTCTGTCAGTAATGTATCATTTGTTAATCCTGTACAACACATGACTCAGCACCAGGTGTCTGTCAATAATGTATCATTTGTTAATCCTGTACAACACATGACTCAGCACCAGGTGTCTGTCAGTAATGTATCTGTTGTTAATCCTGTACAACACATGACTCAGCACCAGGTGTCTGTCAGTAATGTATCTGTTGTTAATCTTGTACAACACAAGACTCAGTGTCAGGTGTCTGTCAGTAATGTATCTGTTGTTAATCCTGTACAACACATGACTCAGCACCAGGTGTCTGTCAGTAATGTATCTGTTGTTAATCTTGTACAACACAGGTGTCTGTCAGTTATGTATCTGTTGTTAATCCTGTACAACACATGACTCAGCACCAGGTGTCTGTCAGTAATGTATCTGTTGTTAATCTTGTACAACACATGACTCAGCACCAGGTGTCTGTCAATAGTGTATCTGTTGTTAATCCTGTACAACACATGACTCAGCACCAGGTGTCTGTCAGTAATGTATCTGTTGTTAATCCTGTACAACACATGACTCAGCACCAGGTGTCTGTCAGTAATGTATCTGTTGTTAATCTTGTACAACACATGACTCAGCACCAGGTGTCTGTCAGTAATGTATCTGTTGTTAATCTTGTACAACACATGACTCAGTGTCAGGTGTCTGTCAGTAATGTGTCTGTTGTTAATCTTGTACAGCACATGACTCAGCACCAGGTGTATGTCAGTAATGTATCTGTTGTTAATCTTGTACAACACATGACTCAGTGTCAGGTGTCTGTCAGTAATGTATCTGTTGTTAATCTTGTACAACACATGACTCAGTGTCAGGTGTCTGTCAGTAAGGTATCTGTTGTTAATCTTGTACAGCACAAGACTCAGTGTCAGGTGTCTGTAAGTAATGTATCTGTTGTTAATCCTGTACAACACATGACTCAGCACCAGGTGTCCGTCAGTAATGTATCTGTTGTTAATCCTGTACAACACATGACTCAGCACCAGGTGTCTGTCAGTAAGGTATCTGTTGTTAATCTTGTACAACACAAGACTCAGTGTCAGGTGTCTGTAAGTAATGTATCTGTTGTTAATCCTGTACAACACATGACTCAGCACCAGGTGTCCGTCAGTAATGTATCTGTTGTTAATCCTGTACAACACATGACTCAGCACCAGGTGTCCGTCAGTAACAGATATATTGTTTTGTGTCTTGTACAACACATGTGAGTGTCAGGTGTCTATCAGCAACAGATATGTTGCTTTGTGTCTTGTACAACATGTGTCGACCGCCTCCGTGGTGTAGTGGTTAGAGCGTCTGCCCGGAGTTCGGAAGGTCTCGGGTTCGATCCCCGACCGCATCATACCAAAAGACGTTAAAATATGGTACTTGTTGGTCCCTGCCTGGAGCTCGGCATTAATGGGTACAACAAGGACTGGTCGGCTCAGAGTCAGTTTAATGTGTCTGAGTGGGGTATTCATGCTTCACTGCGGCATGGTATCTCAGTAGGTTAGCACTATAAAACCAGCTTCAGTCTGGGCTAGTACAAGCAGCCGCACATACACATACACACGCATACATGTCGTCATATGAGCGAAATATTCTCAAGCACGACGTTAAACCCAATTCCACCACCACCACCACCACAACATGTGTCAGTGCCAGGTGTCTATCAGTAACAAATATGTTGTTTTGTGTCTTGTACAACATGTGTCAGTGCCAGGTGTCTATCAGTAACAGATATGTTGTTTTGTGTCTTGTACAACATGTGTCAGTGCCAGGTGTTTATCAGTAACAGATATGTTGTTTTGTGTCTTGTACAACATGTGTCAGTGTCAGGTGTCTGTCGGTAACAGATATGTTGTTTTGTGTCTTGTACAACATGTGTCAGTGTCTGTCAGCAACAGATATGTTGTTTTGTGTCTTGTACAACATGTGTCAGTGCCAGGTGTCTGTCAGTAACAGATCTGTTGTTTTGTGTCTTGTACAACACATGAATCATGTATTGTCACATACCAATGGCACACATCAGGGGTATCATATCAGCCCCTTTGTTGCCCTACCTATTATTGCCTTTTTGTTTGTTACATTGACAATTAATGTCAAAGGTTCTCTCTTAACCATTCTCAAGGTATTAAGGTATTAAAAGAAACATTTAGTGGAAGTCAAAGTAACCTAGTACACATCACATTGTACAAAATCTACTGTCAAAATGATATCTCCTAGGAGATATTGTCTGATCTCACACAAGCGATATCTACTGTGGAACACAGTTTTGGATGATAATCGGCAAGCCTCGGATATTTGTTATTTTATCAACTCGTGGTGATGTATTTGATATCAAAAGACACTCGGGTGAGATTCTCTATTTATCATCCAAAACTGTGTTCCACAGTAGATATCGCTTTTCAATGAAAAATGTACATCTCTGAACACAGTACTGCCATTAGATTTGCAGTACAGCGATGTCATAACATTGTGACGTCAACAAGTTCATAACTAGTAGCATTGTCAGGGCATTGTACAAAATCTACTGTCAAAACGATATCTCCGAGGATCTCACACAAGTGATATCTACTGTCGAACACAGTTTTGGATGATAAAGAGTGATATTCCAGCTACATGACAGCAGTCTGTCAATAATCTCAGCGGGACCAGACAATCTCATGGTTGATATGTAGAGCACATGTCTGTCTACACAATCTGAGAAAGAAGTCCATATGCATCAACCCAATAAGTTGCCAGTAATGACAAAGCTGCGACCTTAGTTGCTGAAGACCAATCCTTACCAGGATGTGTACAGGGCCTTATGTGTGTAGTCAGGGCTCCAGATGATTTCTCAACATCAGGAGTATGTACTCCTTATATTTTCAACATAGGAGTACTGGAAAACCCTCAGTGAGTGAGTGAGTTTAGTTTTATGCCGCACTCAGCAATATTCCAGCTATATGGCGACGGTCTGTAAATAATCGAGTCTGGACCAGACAATCCAGTGATCAACAGCATGAGCATCGATCTACGCAATTGGGAACGGATGACATGTGTCAACCAAGCCAGCGAGCCTGACCACCCAATCCCATTAGTCGCCTCTTACGACAAGCATAGTCACTTAAGAACCTTAAGAGTACATTTAGAGTACTGAATGGAATTTAATGGAGTATCAGTTATCTTGTGTTTCATTTCATATATGCACCACAGCATTGCTACTCTTGTGTAAACAGGTCAATAAACAATAAAATAATACTTTTTCAGATAAATACGTCTGTAAATGATTCTAAGACCGTATACCATTGCTGTGGTGCGTATCTGCTACGTTTTCTAAATTATTTCCGACCATATCATGCTTATTTTATATCCGTACATACGCCTATACGGCCCTTATCTGGAGCCCTGGTAGTTGTTATGTCATTTGGAGATTTGTGTTGATGAAAAGTGCTTTTATGACAGTGTTAGGTCTTTTTTATCCTACTCTCAGTGAGGAACATATGGAAATAGTTTCTGGGGGTTTTATGTTGAATGTTTGTGTGAATAGTGCACAATATTTCTCTGATCAATGAAAAGAAAACAACTAGACAGTAGTAGTTTTAAGCAGCCCTTTCCACTTTATTCCTGAATGCACCAAACCTTTGCCTTTAGCTACTTAAATGACAAAGTTAGAAGCACTTGAAATGCATGCTACAGGGATTCATGGTTATAGGTTCCCAGGATCGCTGGTGAAACACAAGTGGTTGAATTTCTTTTTTGTCATATAGGTTATCGATGTACCACATGATGCCTCTCAAGCACTGAAAATCCATCTGGATCCTGAGTGGCTGATGATTCTGAAGTTGACCAACCATCTACTGAACCTCAGCCCATCAACACGGTACATGCCTGGACCCGGCAGTAATGACAGGTAACGTAACCTCACACCTGCAGACAGTAATGAAGTGTAACCTTACACCTGCACAGACAGTAATGGCAGGTAGTGTAACCTTACACTTGCACAGACAGTAATGACAGGTAGTGTAACCTTACACCTGCACAGACAGTAATGACAGGTAGTGTAACCTTACACCTGCACAGACAGTAATGACAGGTAGTGTAACCTTACACCTGTACAGACAGTGATTACAGGTAGTGTAACCTGAAAGGTCAAACATAATTAAAACACCATTATCACTTATTCATGACATATAATATACATTGCTGATTATGAAAAAAAAAAAAAATTATAAGCGTACAATCGCAAATCGAAAGTGCAGTATTTTGTACTTGGGTTTACTTCCCTAGAAACGAAGCAGCCGGGATACCGAACCCAGTCAGAGCGGGTGGGTGTGCACTCAAGTGTAACGGCTGGTTCATTTGCGGATGCCCTCACAGGTCATTGTGTGTGTGTATATAGAGATGTTGGGTTTTGTAAATACATGCTCATTTTTGTGTATAACATTTTGCAATCAACAGACATCATAACATGTCATGTGTACAAGTATCACACCTGCCTGTCTGTGTAATTACATAATGTGACAGACCAAACTCGGGCCATAAATCAATGCGTTTTGTTTATGGTGTATAGCCTGATAGGTGTTAAGTTCAAATTGCATGTGGTCAGTGATCGAAGTTGTGTATTGACTATTGTCATTAGCAGACAGGCAGGCAGACACATAGATGTCAATAAAACAGACATTGAGTTTTGTCTGTGACAACGACATATCTATATCACAGTTAGAAATTCTGTCAACGCTAAATAATGACATTGCTTTTAAGTATCGAACTGAGAAAGTGACTCGGTAAGAAGAACGTATGGTGAAATAGACAAATGGAATTATATAAACAGTTTAATCGGTAATCTACTGTCATGACATATAAAAAGCTAGCGCCTGTGAAATATCAACAAGCTGCACGAACCTATTTCACTGCGCATGTGATACGAGCGCAGCTCAGCGCATCGCAGCCCAGCTGTTGAAACCACTTTTCCCCCAAGCACTGGGGGACCTTTAAACCAGCACAGACAGTAATGACAGGTAGTGTAACCTCACACCAGTACAGATAGTAATGACAGGTAATATAACCTCACACAAGTACAGACAGTAATGACAGGTAATGTAACCTCACACCAGTACAGACAGTAATGACAGGTAATGTAACCTCACACCAGTACAGACAGTAATGACAGGTAATGTAACCTCACACCAGTACAGACAGTAATGACAGGTAATGTAACCTCACACCAGTACAGACAGTAATGACAGGTAGTGTAACCTCACACCAGTACAGACAGTAATGACAGGTAATGTAACCTCACACCAGTACAGACAGTAATGACAGGTAATATAACCTCACACCAGTACAGACAGTAATGACAGGTAGTGTAACCTCACACAAGTACAGACAGTAATGAGAGGTAGTGTAACCTCACACCAGTACAGACAGTAATGACAGGTAATATAACCTCACACCAGTACAGACAGTAATGACAGGTAATATAACCTCACACCAGTACAGACAGTAATGACAGGTAATGTATCCTCACACCAGTACAGACAGTAATGACAGGTAATGTAACCTCACAACAGTACAGATAGTAAAGACAGGTAATATAACCTCACACCAGTACAGATAGTAATGACAGGTAATGTATCCTCACACCAGTACAGACAGTAATGACAGGTAATATAACCTCACACCAGTACAGACAGTAATGACAGGTAGTGTAACCTCACACCAGTACAGACAGTAATGACAGGTAGTGTAACCTCACACCAGTACAGACAGTAATGACAGGTAGTGTAACCTCACACCAGTACAGACAGTAATGACAGGTAATATAACCTCACACCAGTACAGACAGTAATGACAGGTAGTGTAACCTCACACCAGTACAGATGGTAATGACAGGTAGTGTAACCTCACACCAGTACAGACGGTAATGACATGTAATGTAACCTCACAGCAGTACAGACAGTATTCAATATCAAATTTCACACCATATCAAATGTTCTAACAACCTCACACCAGTACGATATGGCTGAAATATTGCCGACACCAGGTAGTATTAACTCACTCACTCACAGACAGTAATGACAGGTAATGTAACCTCACACCAGTACAGACAGTAATGACAGGTAATATAACCTCACACCAGTACAGACAGTAATGACAGGTAGTGTAACCTCACACCAGTACAGACAGTAATGACAGGTAGTGTAACCTCACACCAGTACAGACAGTAATGACAGGTAGTGTAACCTCACACCAGTACAGACAGTAATGACAGGTAGTGTAACCTCACACCAGTACAGACAGTAATGACAGGTAGTGTAACCTCACACCAGTACAGACAGTAATGACAGGTAATGTAACCTCACACCAGTACAGACAGTAATGACAGGTAATGTAACCTCACACCAGTACAGACAGTAATGACAGGTAATGTAACCTCACACCAGTACAGACAGTAATGACAGGTAATGTAACCTCACACCAGTACAGACAGTAATGACAGGTAGTGTAACCTCACACCAGTACAGACAGTAATGACAGGTAGTGTAACCTCACACCAGTACAGACAGTAATGACAGGTAGTGTAACCTCACACCAGTACAAATGGTAAAGACAGGTAATATAACCTCACACCAGTACAGACAGTAATGAGAGGTTGTGTAATCTGCCACCCGTACAGACAGTAATGACAGGAAGTGTAATCTGACACCTGAACAGACAGTAATGAGAGGTAGTGTAATCTGACACCTGTAGAGACAGTAATGACAGGTAGTGTAATCTGATACCTGTACAGACAGTAATGAGAGGAAGTGTAATCTGACACCTGAACAGACAGTAATGACAGGTAGTGTAATCTGACACCTGTAGAGACAGTAATGACAGGTAGTGTAATCTGGTACCTGTACAGACGGTAATGAGAGGAAGTGTAATCTGACACCTGTACAGACAGTATTAAGAGGTAGTGTAATCTGACAACTGTAGAGACAGTAATGACAGGTAGCGTAATCTGACACCTGTAGAGGTTCCTGTAAATATTTAACTTCAACAGGAATGAAGTTATCTGACATTGACAAATGTTTATTTTATATCTTAGGGCTACAATTGTTGTATTTTCTTACAGTAGGTTTACAAAGATTGTTCTGAAACACTCGGCTGAGTACCATATTATGAATACTGTGTGTGTTGATCAACCAACTTGGCATGATCATATCTCATCCATTCTACTTCTTACAGGTGGGATTTCAAGGTAACAGACCAAGAAATGGAATCTATAAAAGAAGATTTTGATGGAAACTTGGCATTGCCCAACAACTTTGGACCTACAGTGCCAGTCCACGAGCCCGTGATGAGTTCCCCCAATAAGTGTCCAGCCATTGTCATCAACCCCCAGACTACTCTGCTGTGTACCATGGTGGACATAACAGACCCATACGCTGTGTACCTGGAGAAGAACTCACAGAACAGGGATGACGATGTTCCATCATCTCTAGACTCAGCCGACTTGGATGATGACATCAATGAAGATGACGAAGATGACGGAACATGCAGTGATATCAACAGTAGCATTGATACCTCATATAACGACTCATTCAGTCTCAACACGACAGACTTGTCACTGAATGAAACTGCAGAGCTAGCATCAGGGAATCTCTCAATATTGTCAAACAATACAGACATTTCCATAGAGGAAGAAGATGAGTTGAGTGAAATACTTTCTGCTCAAAAGAAAATGCAAAGTAGCAATGGACATGAGTCAAGTGTGGACAGCTCTGTCGATGGTGAAAATGAGGACAATGCGAAAGTTGCACAGAGTCTTTCGAAAAGTGAACTGTCCAAATCAGACACCTTGTTATCCAAACTTGAAATGTCTGGCGTGTTTGAAATTGATGCTGATTCCGCATCACAGAGTGACTCTATCAGTTCATCTGCAGAAGATGACAGAGATTCAAATGTGACAGCAGATATATCCAGCAACCCAGCAGGGGACACGCCTGCTTCCACAAAGTCCATCAAACGGACAGATGTGTCTGATGTGGAAATAAGTCCACAAAGTAAGAAACTGAGAAGAAGAAATCAGAGCATGTACTCATCAACTGAAGATGAGGCAGATTCACAGTGATGGCTGCTGGTGATTTTACACAGTTGACAATGGTAGAGAACTGGCATCCAGGACATGTCCAAATACCTCTGTATACTAGTACTTACTCTGTCAAACGTTATTTTTATGATCTTAACTAGTCAAGGACTAGTTTTAGAACATGTCATGACAACTCAGTTTTATGTGGCTTTGTTTTACTTCATTGTTTTACAGACTTGCATCAAATGTTTGCAAGCAACAGATTATGACCACAAACAGCCATACGCATCAGGCCATAAGACTTGAAACAAACATTGTGAAGTTCAAAACAATGGATTTTGTAATATTTTCCCTTCATTTAGCTAAGAGGACTATGTGATATGCTTGTCTCAAGGTATGTCATTCCAACAGATGTATAAACCATAGGTTCTTAGGTCACCTAACTCAAGTTCAAGGAAGCTGAATTAATGTCTTCAGTATCTGTAAACATCTTCTTCTCAGTAATCTGAAGTGTGGTGTGCTTGCTCCCACCAATGACAGCATGGAAAATGTTTTAAACTTAAGATCTAATTATTCATATTGAATCACAGTTTCTTTCTCAATGTGCCTCATTTGACCTTGCATTTAGATCCTGTGATGAGTTTTCTTTCAAAATGGCTTACTAAATATAATCTTCTGTTGACGAGAGGCATAGTAGTGTGTTAGGAATGACCAACAGGAAAAGGTAGGAAACTGACTGCTGCCATTTCTTCAGTGACCCATTTTCATGAACAGAATTGTTTGCTATTGTATGGATGTTTTTACCCTTATGTGATGGAGTTACCAGTGTCTTTATTTGTATTTATACAAGAACTAGCTATACATCAGTGGTTGTGGGAACCTGTATTGGATTACTCATCCTTGTTGTTCACTGGTCACAAGGAGGACATGGGTTGATGTACCCTCTATTTATACATAAATAAACATAGAGGGTACATCAACCCATGGGCCCTGAGGGACCAGTGAACAACATATTTCTTACCGACCACCTCAATGTTAATTTGGATTTGTGTGAAGTACGGGTAGCAGATCATAATGAGGAGTACCAGAGTTAGGCAATTAGCCAATACTGACGACAGATGGCAAGAAAAACAAATTTACAGTTATCTCCCGTCCATCACTTTGCATTTGTAAAACCTCGATAATTTCCGTACATCATACGTGACTCAATTATTCAAGATAAAGAATTACTAACACAAAGTACTAAATGAATTCACACAGTTCGGCATTCCCAGCAAGTAACACAGAAAATGTTACTCGCTTATAAGCGGTGTACATTGAAAATAATAGAAGATCGATCAGGCGATCAAAACGACATTTGTGTTTAAGGTGAGATAACAATGATTATTAGTATGTTATTCAGATTATGAATTATTACAATGACTATCGTGGTCAAGTAACTCAACTCGTCAGAGCTAGTGAGTGTAAAAGTGTTGAATATCGAGTCCTATACAATTTCAACCCCATCTTATGCTGCAGTGCTGTTCACTGTGGAGACACCAGTGTCAGTGGATTCCCATCCCAGATTCACATAGACACTTACTCAGTGCCATACCAATGTTCAGGGGTTTCTCAGGGTAGTAAAGGTGGACAACCTGCATAAGATTTGGCTCTCACACAAAGTACACACAGAGATTACTCAAATAACTTAGCTTTTGTGGACAAAATAGTACTATATTTTCTTTTCAATTAGGTATATGTTATCAAGGTATATGTTATCAAGGTATATGTTATCAAGGTATATGTTATCAAGGTATATGTTATCATCTTATTTTTGTCCTGTGTGGTCAAACCATTTGTAAATATTGTGAAGGAAACTTAGTCAACATGTGTGTAGGAGTAAGGTGTCCGTGTACAGTAACTTTATCAGGTCACGTTCTGTTTCAGTGAAATCTCCTTGTTCAAATTATGAACACTTAACAGAGTTTGATGCCCTTGACTTTTTATGACACTGTAAATATGCCTCAGATTTTATCTGTTTGTTATGCATTTCAGTGTTCTCAATATCAGGCTGAGTGAACTGAAGTCAGTGAATAAGTTGAATATGTGGCCATACTTTCCAAGAATGAAGTAGTGATGTTAGGCATTGGGTGAATGTAATACCAGCTGACCCCGTGGGGTGAATGTAATACCAGCTGACCCCATGGGGTGAATGTAATACCAGCTGATCCCAGCTGACCCCATGGGGTGAATGTAATACCAGCTGATCCCATGGGGTGAATGTAATACCAGCTGACCCCATGGGGTGAATGTAATACCAGCTGACCCCATGGGGTGAATGTAATACCAGCTGACCCCGTGGGGTGAATGTAATACCAGTTGACCCCATGGGGTGAATGTAATACCAGCTGACCCCATGGGGTGAATGTAATACCAGCTGACCCCGTGGGGTGAATGTAATACCAGCTGATCCCATGGGGTGAATGTAATGTTAGCTGATCCCATGGGGTGAATGTAATGTTAGCTGACCCTGTGGGGTGAATGTAATACCAGCTGCCCCCGTGGGGTGAATGTAATACCAGATAGAAATGTATGGCATTGTTCATGTCATCCAGCCCTATCCTGCAGAGATTTTGTTAAAAAGATGATGAGAAGTACTGCTTTTTATCCATTCACTTATATTTTCTTTTACAATCTATCAATTTTGTTGCATAGTTTGATATATTTCACTGTATAAGGACATTTTTTGTTATGTTTTAGATACTGCTAACTTGTCTTAAGCCATGTAAGTATATTAGCAAAGAAATGCTACTGCCCTGGTGACTGGTTAAATGTCAGTTTTTGAAATCTTGTTACAAAGTGTATAAAACAAAACATGAATTTTGATAATCATCTGTATAATCAATTGTTTTGTATTGTGTAACACAATTACGGACAGGAAAACAACCAGAACACAGTCATGGAAACATTGCCAAGTTCTGCATTAACAAATACACAAACAAGAAGATGGACGAATGTCATGTTCTGACAGGACCAGATGTTCGTTTCCACACTTTGACCATCTTTGATTATAACCAGGCATACATAGTGTCATTGAAAGAGGGAGAGTCACTTCAGCTGGGGGCAGTGCTGTTGCCTAGTGATTCAAGTGTTCGCTTGTAATGCTGAAGATCCGGGTTCTATTCTGTACAATGTGTGAAGCCTTTTCTGGTGTCCCCTGCTGTGATAATGCTGGAATATTGCTAAAAGCGGGGTAAAAATATACTCACTCACTTTGCATCAGCTGATATCCTCAGAAGGCATACTGTGATGGTGAAATCCATATGCCTAAATTTGCTGAAGAATATTTTAACCTTGGAATTTTATCCTCTCTCTTGAATACAGTAGATGTTGCATATTTGATATTGACCGAAATCTTGGAACACGTTTTTTTGCAAGTTAAGTTTAAACAACAAAAGGATGCATGTACATAACATGTTGACACATTGCGACATTGTTGATGGCTATTCCAGTACTTGCCAGTACTCTTTTGTGAAAATGTTGTTGTCAGAAACTTTATATGATAGTTTCTTAAGTAAAATATTTAATGGTTGATATCAATTTTTGCAATTTAACACCCAAATAGGTCGTCAGATATCATTCTTAACTGAGCCAATTAAAGTTGGATACCTTCTGTTATTTAAACGTAACTTGCAAAAAACGTGTTCCAAAAGTTGAAGGACTATAGTTCATTTCATGATGTATTTGTGAATAGATTGTTTTGTCATCTCCTCTGTGACGCATTACACTGTCCTGGTGTAATCACCGATAGAGGTCATGTGCTATAGGTCAGCTGCATCACATGCATCACTTTTATGCATTTTGCTGATGCAGTAACAAGTGACATGGTAAACTGGGGATTGTCATGTTTATTTCTTGAGTAGTTGTGTTTGATTCACCTCATACCAGCATTTGGCCATGAGTCCTGAAGACATCAGATCCTCTTTACTTTTCATCCCAAAATATCACGTTTTTAATGTAAATTGTTGAAAAAACACTTGTGTCATAACATATCCAGAATAATGCATACACAATATCACATGAAATGTAGGAAGTGCTAGAATCGATACAACTCTCCTGATCTTGTCATGATAGAGAGTAATACCCTAATGGAAGATGCTTTTGAATTTATCATGAATTGCATGATCTTAGCGAGATGATCTTTATCAGATATGTAGAAAAAGCGCAGAAGATTAGGAATCATTCTTTAATAAAACCAAGATGAGAAACTACATATTGCTGTAATCGAATGTATTTCTGTTGTAATGTCAGTCACCAATGTCCAGGCGTCAGTACACCCCACAACAGTTACCAAATAATAGAATAGAATAATACTTTAATGCCTTTTCAGGAATATATGTTACATCAGCAGAGCTACTGACACATTAGAGAGATACCAAACATATTTACATAAATTGTTTGATTTAGGTATCTTCACATTTGTTTAAGAGAGATATGGTACTTGGAATAAAGGATGTACGGGCTCTCTTAGTTTTCACAATTGGAACTTTGTAGCAGCGGCCTGAAGGGAGGAGGTTGTATTCCGAATTTAAGTAGTGAGTACGGTCAGATATGATTTTGACAGCTTGATTCACGATTTGCCGCTCATATATTGATGTTAAACATTCAAATCTGACTCCAGCGATTTTACTTGGCCGTTCCACATTGTCAGGGAAGATGTACGCTCAGGCTCTCCACTCACCTGGTCCGTTGAGGGATGCTAAGTCCGGGAGAGAGGTCAGACGAGCGTGACACCTAACTAACCACATTACATTCATGTACGGGCACACATGATATATTGAAAGTTAACACAACACCGGGTTCTATGCTCACATAGGGTTACTTTGCTTCTGTCCATCGCTCTAACTGCAACTTCAACACAAGACAGGGTTGACTCATCCCATCAGAGGCCATATAATAAACTAATATATGGTATCTGATCCCATAGTGGGAACTGTGTGACATGGATTGGCTTCGGCGACCATTACTCTGCTCGTGTTATGCATTTTTACCGTATAGCATCCTCCGCCTGTGGACAAGAGCTGCCCACAGCTGGGATAAGTTAACCACGGGGTCAGGTCAGATGTGTTACAAGTTACAACATGAGATACACAAGGGAAGCGAATAGGATCGCTAATTTGTGATAGGACCAGTTTCGAACTTTAGAAATATTCGGGACAACCTTGGATACGGTATATCAAAATAGACTACATGTATCATGCCAAAGAATATGAGAATGATCCTATTTTACTTCGGGTAACCACAAAGCATATACATCACACACATATATTATGAGATGATAACACAACATTAAATAAAAGTCAATATTGAGTGTAAAAAATGTCACTGAAATGGCCTAATAATGGCACCACCATTCAGGAAAAATTTCACGTCTCCGCACCCCTCGAACATACTATTCTGGTCTACTGGAAAGGTGTAGCCAGATGATCGACGTGGCGTGGACCAGACGACAGCGGGGGAGGAGCTTTAAAATTGTTCTCCCGTTCGAATGGGGTCCGGCCATTAATATTCAACACTTGAAAAGTGTTGAACCACGACCAACATAGTTAGTGGAACAATATGAATTGGACACGATATTAATACTGTTTGAAATATCAACCTGTGTACGATTTAAGTTGACAAAAACAGCATTGTTGACTGATTTCTGCGTGCAGAATGACAACTTAGTTGAATGACAATTGTCCGATATGTAACATGACATCAACGAGTACGAATGGAATGGCGTGTAAACCACGGACTGCATCTGTAGTCGAATAACAGTGTATGGACATCTAACTTACAACATTCAGTAAATGCTTTACAGTTTAGAACACAAAAGCGAACAACATATACATGTGTGATGGGCTGAGGGTATACACTGAAACACGGATGCAATCTATCCAAGCAAGTAATAATGAAGAGAGGCAACAGTAGCATGATGGAATACAACAACTATCAACTATCCATAATGTATGAGACATCAATTCCGAACACAATATTGTCGTAGGAATGAGTAGTGATATATGAGTAAACATTCACTTTTGTCACTCAGAAGTTTTGATGCTATTTAATGTTAAGATATTTGAAAAAATATTACTATAACTTTAGAACATGGAGTATTTAACGGATAGTTTCACTATGAAATTCAGACCATTATGTAGTCTCAAATGATCAATGTGTCCAAGTGACAAGTGTTTATAACGCTGGTCGTTAATAGATTGCATCACAGCATCAAATGTGACGTGTAGCAATAAACAACACAGACAAAAGAATTGTCCATACATGCCAGCTTGCAAAGACTGAGAATAGGGTAGAGTTAACATAATGGGTGCTGCCTGCGATGTGGATTATATCAGAGGCAACGGGAAAGCTGCTCCACAATGTCGGAGAACCATAAATTACCTTAGTTGGACAAAATACTTTTAACCAACTGATATAAATCTTTCCAGAAGGATATACGTTGGGTGTGAATGTGAAAATCGGGAGAATTAAAAGGTAAGTAGTAAGAAAGGAATTCCTGTTGAACATGAAAATTGGTCAGAGGATTTCTAGCAGATAACGCCAGGTCTTGGGGGCAAAGATAGAATTGTGAGACCATAATTGGTGGAACGGAATACATCCAACCACCATCAATTATAAATTATCATGCGCTTTTTCATACGCTGGGAAACATGGCGTAAAAACTTGAAATCCTTTGTCCTTTACGGGTGTTATTAAACACTTTATTATCAACAAGTAATAAATGTGATATTTTAAAAGCAAAATTTTCTAGGATAGGTTGTAAAAGTTTCAAAAGGTTTTAATGTGTGTACACACGTCGACCGAGTTCATCCCATGCATGCTCTGTTGGGTTGAGGTCAGGCGAGCATACTGACCACTCCATCCGCTCTACACCCTGCTGCCTAAGGAATTCCGTGACAATCCTGGCCCTATATATGAGGCCTAGCGTTGTCGTCTTGCAGCAAAGAGGGTCGACCATAAAGCCATGCATAGCTTGCAGAAATGGTACTGCTATAGGAGCAAGAATCTCGTCCCGATAACTCTGTCCGGTAAGATTACCGTCGACCACGTACAGTGGAGTACGTCCAGTTGGAGTTATACCCTGCCAAAACCATGACCGACCCCCGACGAATCGGTTATGCGTGGCCAAGGTTGCATGTGTGATTCACTCTCCATTGCGACGATAAATCCTCTGCCGAACATCATGGAAGGACAAATTGAATCTGCTTTCATCTATGAAGAGTACACGAGACCATTGACGTTGATTCCAGCGACCATGATGTCTACTCCATCTCAAACGCGCCTGCCTGTGACGTGGGGTTATTTTTGTAGTGGTGGACGAACTGCAGGTCGCCTGCACCGGAGTCCGCCTGCCCTTAAACGTCGATGAACGATGCTCCTGAGTGTCCTTTTAGCATTGAAGTGTTCTGTCTGAAGATCTGCTGTGTTAAGGAATCTGTTACGTAACGCAGTGTTAATCATGTGCCTATCATCACGGACTGTTGTGACTCGGGGTCGACTTGAATATTCCACGGATCCATTGACTTGAAATCTCTGCCACAGTCTACCAATAGCGCTCTGACTCACATTAAAGAGGACAGCAACCTGCCGCTGAGTTTAACCAGATTCCAAAAGGCCTATAGCCTGACCCATTTCATCAAGTGTAAAAACACCGCCTCATTTTAAGCTGCGATTTCAGACAGGTTCCTGAACAGTGAACGACTGTGAAAAAGCATCAATGCCTGTGTATTGTCCTCCACTTTCCATAGATAGAGGTGAGGCGAGGTGAAATTGGGTTTAAAGTCGTGCTTGAGAATATTTCACTCATATGACGACGTGCATACGTGTGTATGTGTATGTGCGGCTGCTTGTACTAGCCCAGACTGAAGCTGGTTTTATAGTGCTAGCCCATTGAGATACCATGCCGCAGTGAAGCATGAATCTTCTTCTTCGGTTAGGTGCTTTGGAGGTCGCCTTTGCCTGTTGGCATTTCGGCAGACGAAGCATGAATACCCCACTCAGACACATCATACTGACTCCGAGCCGACCAGTCCTTGATGTACCCATTAATGCCGAGCGTCAGGCAGGGACCAACAAGTACCTACCATATTTTAACGTCTTTTGGTATGACGCGGCCGGGGATCGAACCCGCGACCTTCCGCTCTCCGGGCGAACGCTCTAACCACTACACCATGCAGGCGGTCACCATGGATAGAGCGACTTGCACGAGCGAATCATTGACAATAAGTGACAGGTGCATTATTGACAATTTGAATAAAAAATGTGCCGTTTGAATGTGCCGTTTGAATTTGAATAAAAAATGTGCCGTTTGTAACAGAATGTATCGGACGTTAAAGAACGTAATAATGATATTTCAACGGGTTGTTCTCTATTCGCCTACATCCCAATTCGCCTACAGCCTTAAAACAACATTTCATGGTCTGTTGACTGTTGATTACGCAATGATAAATTAGTGTCACCCCTATGATCTAAAAGTGGACTCTTCTAGTTGAAGTAGTTGATGGACAAAAAGACCGATGACCGATATTTATTTCGGTTACTTGTCATTTTCTGATCACAATGAAGTGATAATTTATTTATCATATATCACATCATACCATCACATCATGTCATTTTCTGATCACAATGAAATGATCATTTATTTACAAGGCAGTGCAAAACATACACCTATGTCCAGAAAATGTTCCATCCATGTACACTGTTTCGACCTCAGCAAGGATACCCACCATCTCTGTGGTTATGAAGATTAGCATCCTGTTGTAAGCAATAAAACCTTTAAAGTCTTCGTCCTATTAGCATGTATCCAGGGTAGAATATCAGAAGCCCAGCTGGCCCCTCTCAGTAAGCAATTAAGAAATTGAACACTGTCGCTGGTCGATGAGATGCCATTGTCTTTGGGAAATGTTCGTCAGAGTGACAGCGGGAGGGAGGTCAGTAATAGATGAGCAGCCGTCCCTCGCTAATCAGGCACACGTGCTGTCCCCTAAATATAGCACTGGACAGGGGATCAAACAATAGCCCCTGATCGGCAGTACACTGGACAAAGGACACTTTGGCCAAGTCATCCCACATATCAAATAACACATCGAGCAAAATGCATCTTGGCCATTAATTTCCTTGTCCAGATATAATGATTAAAGGCTTAATAGGGAGATCGAAGACGGCTGACTCATTACTGACCAGATGCGTAGGGGGGCCAAAGACAAAGGACCAAGAATGACCAACCCTGGGTATATAACGGTACAGGCACTAGGCCTTGGGAGGAGAAGCTGCAGAGAAGCTCGAGCCTACGCTTGAAAGTGTAGCACTGAATAAAGAGTTGTGGACCCTCAGACGGACTTGTGTTGTTCATGCAAGGACATCCACTATAGAGAAACAACACATCAAATCTCTAAGTGCGATACTGGTGGAGATCGGTCTCTGGTACCTCAAACAGCCAAGCATTCAAGATCCAACCAAGAGGTTAGTGATGAACTTTATACTTCGTCTGGGGTCCACAACGCCCGATTTATTATCTACACTTGGGCGAAATCAACTGTCTACTGTTCAACATCATCAACGTGTCATCGTCTGCATCCTGTAACCTACAGCCCCAGGAACATGTTACAGTAATCTACCCATGTGACGCCTCACCGTTTGAACAGTCTACTTTAATACTGTCTATAATACTGTCACTCGTGCTGTGAATGCCATCTTACTCTGTCTTCGAGCCAGTGCGTAAATTTCAGCGACTATAACTCCATGTGTCAGTCAGAATTCTGTGCAGGACCTGTCACTGCTACATTCCACGAGGACAGGAACCGGATTACTTCACCAACAGGATCAACCCCGCCACACCTCGCCAGGACCGGTAACCCGAGTAAAGTTCTCCCCAACGACCGACCCATCACACCCCAACAAGACCAGACTACGGACAGCTCAAGATAACTGTGCTAGAACTGTGCTCCTGTAAAGTATTCAGAGATTCTATTCCATGTTCATTTTGGGTAAGCATTATTCTGTTAGTACTCGCCTACTTATTACCTACTACACCTGTTATATAAGACCAAACTATTTGTCAGAATTTCAGTTCTATACATTGAACGTGATTAGTGCACGAGGCGCCCCTACACTTAACTCTTAACTCAAATATATGTTACTTGCCCCTTATTGTACAAAACACACTACCCGTCATTTTATCCTAACCACCCCCACCCAGCCACATTTATTTTTTTATAACGTTGATACATTAAGACCGCGTTGTCAAAGGCGACATGTTGTTCTACAGAGAAATAATTTGGAAGCTAAAGGAAAAGAAATAACTGATAAATAGGATTCCACTTTATTGTCAGTTTTGAAGATTTGATATGTTAAACATATTGCTGAAGTTGCAGACATGTGTTTCAAGTTTACCAATTCATATCATGTTCTGTTCAGTTAAGCGCACTGTGCGTGCCTTACGTTTCAATATATACATGGCTTTAGTTATTGATTCCGCAATTTTACACTGATTTGCTGAATTTATCATTTTTTTAAATGAACACCAAGATAGGTATACTCACCAACCAATTCAAGGTTAGTCCCATTTAGAATATTATGCTTTGTTTGTCAGATACATTAACCCCCAAATAATATAAATTATATATTCTTGTTTTGGAAAGCATTAGAAGCATTAGAAGCAACTCAACTCAAAGCGTTGATTGATTTCAAATCCCAGTAATGTCTGCTACCCGTATAGTAATGAACTGCACAGAGCACTTAATCATGCTATCATACCTGCTTATTGCCTGCGGCGCTACAGTCTACAAATTATCCACCCCTCTTGTGTCAAACCGTTGACCATACGGTCATATTTGACCAACCGTGACCACCAGCGCTCGTTCCAATATCGACCCCCACTCACATATCTCTTGAACCCGTTGTCACTCCATCATATTTTAGAAAAGTGGTCATTAACGAGCCTTCCCAGACTACATTGTTGTAAGAGCTGCCGGTATTTTCCCTCGTCCCCCATCACCGTGTCAGTACTGTTGTCCCCGACCGAGTCCACTTTATCTTCTCTAACTCCAGGGTATTCCCCGTTCTCCGGTTGTTCGGCATGGTTGGCCTCTATGCCATTTAACAATTTGTCAACCACTCACTGTCAGGCTAGAGCAGCTAACTCATATTTAATATGATTTAGAAAACAAACAGAAACATGCACCAAAAGCTAATGCGGAATCACCATGTGAGTAAATAACGCCCCAATGTACATAATGAAACACGATATTGTATATATTGTACATCAAATATTGTAAGTCATGTATATACCGAGCAGTTAGTCATCGGACAAGATTTTGTTTCATATATTTATTAATGCCCACATGAGAACTATACATTTCCCCATGTTATATCCACACATTATATCCGTTATTCCATACCATTTCAGTAATCTGACCTAGAGTAATTATACATGCATTTTATCTGAATATCGAAACTGTCCAAAATGAAATCCACAGGGACATAAGATCAACAATCACCAATTACGGGCATGGTATAGGTCTGTAAGTACGAATGTTTCGGCACTGGCCGTGAAAGGAAGAAGGGAACATGTACGGAGTTAAACTCACGGCTTGAACCCTGAATGTGTGACGAATGAGGAAGGCTTGAGGTATAAGGGTTATGAAAGAGTATGTATGTGGAGGTAGAGAGTGGTGTCAGCTGTCGGAATCAGGTACAGGGCAACCACAGACAAAAGAGCCATCACGCCATTGTCTGGGGACCCTGGAGAGACACCAGTAGTGGTAGTGGACGAAGGAGTAGTAGAGTAGTGAAGAGAGAAGGAGGTGTCAGCTGTCGGAACCAGGTACAGGGCAACCACAGACAAAAGAGCCATCACGCCATTGTCTGGGGACCCTGGAGAGACACCAGTAGTGGTAGTGGACGAAGGAGTAGTAGAGTAGTGAAGAGAGAAGGAGGTGTCAGCTGTCGGAACCAGGTACAGGGCAACCACAGACAAAAGAGCCATCACGCCATTGACTGGGGACCCTGGAGAGACACCAGGTGTTTGTCGCTCTGCGGCAGGGTTAGCTGATGGATTCCACCGCCTACCTATCTCTTGATCACGGATGGGTCCACAGGCGTGCTCGATACCCATGGGAGAGTGTTTAGAGCAATCATTCACTCCCCCAAAAGTCCCGGTAGTATAGGGCCAGCTGACCTAAGGAAAATTTGTGTAGTTGAAAATGACGTCATTAGAGGATTAGTTTGATACAGGTGATGTGAGTAGGAGAGTAGGTAACACAAAGGATGTGTTTAGTAGTGATAAGGATGAATGAGTGCACAGAGAGCACTTTAAAGAGCGCCTGTGATTGACTATGATGGACCTATACCTTGTGCCTTAAATTTTATCCGGACGGTTGTTTTACTTTTAGTTGTCAGTTGATTTCACTTTTTAACTGCTTAGAAATAGTAATAGTAGTTATGCTGGCAGTGTACAAGTTAACCCCAACCCACATTTCCAGTACCACCCCTATAATTACCAGCATCACAGTCTCGAGCCCGCACACATTTTCATGACACACCATACACACCAATGATGGTTTGTCACATATACATCATTGGATTCCGCAAACACTTTACACACCACCATATTTCTGTTAGGTCGCGTTATATCGTAGTGGAATGTACTTGTAGCTCTGTATATATGTTATTACTTTGTAAAATGACAAATACGGGTCCACATTATATCCTAACTTCCATTTATGTACATGTTTATAATGACACTAATTGATTTTATCTACCATGTCCATCATGTAAATTCACTGCGTAACTGGGCTATATCATAACTTCCATGTATGTCCATCACTTAAATTCAATCGGTAACGGTGCTCTATCATAACTTCCATTGTACATTATATAACGCTACTATATATCGTCTTTGTTTGAATATATCATGTCCATCATTTAAAAACACTCGCCATGTATATGTGCTATATGTACATCAGATGTAAATGCTGTAACCCATTGACATTGTATAATCTCCATTCTTACGTAACATAATTGTACCTCAGGGTTGGTCACGGTCATTGGTCGCATTCTCCACGTAAGGACGTGAGGTCACGTCCTTACGATACGACGGGGAAGTATATCCAGGGTAGAATATCAGAAGCCCAGCTGGCCCCTCTCAGTAAGCAATTAAGAAATTGAACACTGTCGCTGGTCGATGAGATGCCATTGTCTTTGGGAAATGTTCGTCAGAGTGACAGCGGGAGGGAGGTCAGTAATAGATGAGCAGCCGTCCCTCGCTAATCAGGCACACGTGCTGTCCCCTAAATATAGCACTGGACAGGGGATCAAACAATAGCCCCTGATCGGCAGTACACTGGACAAAGGACACTTTGGCCAAGTCATCCCACATATCAAATAACACATCGAGCAAAATGCATCTTGGCCATTAATTTCCTTGTCCAGATATAATGATTAAAGGCTTAATAGGGAGATCGAAGACGGCTGACTCATTACTGACCAGATGCGTAGGGGGGCCAAAGACAAAGGACCAAGAATGACCAACCCTGGGTATATAACGGTACAGGCACTAGGCCTTGGGAGGAGAAGCTGCAGAGAAGCTCGAGCCTACGCTTGAAAGTGTAGCACTGAATAAAGAGTTGTGGACCCTCAGACGGACTTGTGTTGTTCATGCAAGGACATCCACTATAGAGAAACAACACATCAAATAATCTCTAAGTGCGATACATGT